CCCGTTATTTCATGGATTTAGTTGGATCTTAGCTTGGCTGGGACTTCTATATAGTTTCCAGAAGAGGGAAACTTGTTACAAATCAAATATCCATATATTTGACCAGTAAATGAAAAACATGTGGAGGTCAGAATTTACCATTTGTGTGCTGCAAGTTATCTAAGTGAGGTTTTGTTCTGTGGCTTCCATTTAATTTTGAGAAGCTAAGTTGATCTTTTGGGAATCTTGAAGATACATGTTGTGTCTGGGAAATTATTCCAGTCTGAGCTAGGGGATTACGTGTTTGTACCATTGTTGACATTGGTAGTTAGGCAAAGAGGCCAAAACTGAAGTCTTTCAACTATAACTCGAAACATAGGAAGATATTTTTTCTTTACTCTGCTTCTCCATATTTTTATTGTTTCTACTTTGGCTCCTGCATGAATGGCATTGATAGAAGCGATTTTTATTAATAACAGTGGCAAAGAACCTTTAAATAAGATAACAAATGATGTAAATTGCAATTTATAGTTTGCCTTTTAATTTAACTTGATGTTGACTAGTACTTGGCATTTTACTTTCTGTTCAAAATTCTAATACATGTGCTAACATACATGTTTTTGAGTTGCATAGGGTCATCTTTTTTGTACTAGGTGGTTCCAAATGGAAAACCGCATCTTGTTTGTAAAGTTTTTCAAAGAATCTCCCCCTTTCCCCAAGTATGTTTCGTCTCTGGTTCTGCTTTGTCACAATAATCAAACTGAAAATAAAAAATTTTTCAACATCACTTTGGAATCTTGATGGGGCTTGCTGCTCTTTTCTTTTGATCGACTCCAATGAAGACTAGTTTAAGAGCACGCCAATGTGCTGTATGGTAAAATTTGGTTAGTTTATTTCATGTTGCTGAAAATATTAATATGAGCTATTTCTTCTTGCTACATTTTGTCTTAGGTTTCATATTTGGTGCACTTAGTAACCCAGTTTTTTTACTATTACTACTATTTTGGCACTTTGGTAGAGCGAGATTTTAAGCGGTGGAAATCCATTGAGTCTTTTCTGCTTTATGAAATAGGATCCTGCTTATTATGTTCTCAAGGAAGATACCTCCCCTTGCATTTTTGGTTCCATTGAGAAGCAGAGGTGGTCCTATGCATGCGCAAAGCAATTAATTGAGAGATTGATCTATGGTGAGCTACCTTTTTGTTGATCTGTCTTTTCAATATTAGATACTGCACTGGATATTTCTGACTTGGCCTTGCAATGCAGCTGAGGGTGCTGAAAACGGTCTTGAGTTTACCATTGTTAGGCCCTTTAACTGGATTGGTCCTAGAATGGATTTCATACCTGGAATTGATGGGCCCAGTGAGGGTGTTCCAAGAGTTCTGGCATGCTTTAGTAATGTTAGTCTCATTTCTTGTTTTCATGTTGGTAGTCTGTAATTTTTTTGTGGTTGTCCTATCTCTTAACCATATTCTACCATTTCTTTTTCTTCAGAATCTATTGAGGCGTGAGCCCCTAAAACTTGTTGATGGAGGCCAATCACAGAGAACCTTTGTTTACATTAAAGATGCAATTGAAGCTGTTCATCTGATGATTGTATGTTGGCTTTGGTGTCATTTTGGTTTGTTACACATGTTATTGTTGAATTTGGATCTGAGTGGTTTACTTTTGCTTAGGAAAATCCTGCTAGGGCAAATGGTCAGATTTTCAATGTGGGTAATCCTAATAATGAAGTTACAGTCAGGCAGCTAGCTGAAATGATGACAGAGGTATATGAATGATGTTTGTCATAGAGTGTTTTATCATTAATTTTGTGTTTGTTTTTGTGATTTGTCTATATTTTGAATTCCTTACCATCTTCTACCCACATTCGGCAGGTTTATGCAAAGGTTAGTGGAGAGCCTCCACTAGAAGCGGCTACCATAGATGTAAGCTCCAAAGAATTTTATGGTGAAGGTTATGATGATAGTGATAAAAGAATTCCTGATATGACTATAATCAACAAACAACTGGGTATGAACTTCTTGTTTTCCTGTACTTCTGTTAAATTTCTTGTCACTGAGGATTCACTGAATTTGATTGTCAATGTTTGTTGGATGATTTCCAGGATGGAATCCCAAAACATCTCTCTGGGATCTACTTGATTCCACCCTTACCTATCAACACAGGACATACGCTGAGGCTATCAGAAAAGCAATTTCAAAGCCTGTTGCAAGTTAAGAAACAGTATAGTGTGGTTCTTTCTCAAGTGCTGCTTGTTGGCAGGTCTTGCAATTCTTTCTACGGATCTGTTGAGTATATCTATATGGTTCATTGTCATATAGGCCACATTTTTTCACTTTCAAAGTGTTACTAGTCCATAGCGTGCAGTTACAAGGAACATGAAACTCAATGTTGGTCTTAAGGGCGGGATTTTAGTAGGAAGACTTGTGATGCTTTATCTAAGACACTTTGGAGAACTATAGAAGGATAGATGTACTGTTTGTAATTTGTGGTCACTCATCTGCTGCTTAATGCATACCACAACTATACGGGATCATGTTGTATCATTTTGTTCTGCCTCTTCAGGCTTCATTTCCCTAATATATTATTCTTTTTGTGACTATTGGCCCTTTTCTTATTTACGAAGAGGCTTGCGATCAGTTTTACTTGTCAAGGTATTGAAGATGCTTCTCAGCATTAAAATGATATACCGGCAGTAAACGGTCCATTACCATGGTGAATGAGTGCTGAGGTTTGGGTTTTAGCTGGGGTCTTTGTTATCAGCTCATGACCTCTCAAGGCTTATGATAAGTGTAATAACCATCGCGTTTGCAAATGCTCTTAAAGAATTGCCAACAAATAATGTAGGCTATTTGCCTTGACTTGATTAAAGGCTTAAGAAGACCTTGGTAGAAGCTTTGTGCATTAAAAGATGCTTTACCGTTCTTCAAACCTAGTCTACTGAAAAGCATGTGATGGTTCAAGGCGATTGGAATTAGTTAGTACTTGGCCTTTTGTTTTGCCTATTTCTGTGCTACACTACCAATCGTTCGTTAGACAAACTATTGTTGCCTACTTAGTGTTGGCACCATCGATTTTTTAAGTTTCATAAAGATGTAAAATGCTTGCCATGGATTTTGGTCTGAGCTTTTAATTTGATCCAAAACCATCCATGCTACTGCAATGTACTCCTAAGTAAGAAGGTGTTAGGAAGCAACTCTCTCTCTCTCTCTCTCTATATATATATATATATATATATACACGCACACATAGAACTAAAGCATGTATCTCTTGATTTAAAATCAGATGGCTACTAATTTTCCTTGTCATATGTTAAATCATGCTTTACCAATTTGATTACCACTTGTCAGATATATGCTGTATCTCTGGGTTATCACATAAACATTTCGCCTCATTCACGATCGAATATTTCTGTTGGACAGAATCTGTAAAATTACAAAACACAAAAAATAAAACAGAACACAGATCTATGCCACCAACTTTATCACGAAAGGCCCTGAAACATCTTGGTCCAGTTTTAGATAACGCATCCATGAAAGTCCCGAAAAATACAAAGACACGCCTGGTGGGACTCGAACCCACAATCGTCTGATTAGAAGTCAGACGCCTTATCCATTAGGCCACAGGCGCTTTGGTTGTTTCTTCATATCTATAATCATAGTTTTATAGTGTGATAAGCCGTTGGACATGGAAAATCCAATTGAGTTTAATAAATTCACAATCTCTTGTAAATACTATACGAGTACATGAAAATAAAAAAAAAATTGCTTTGAATAGAAATTCACGGCAACAATCTATGATCAAGATGTATTTCCAGTATGAGGGTTTATAACTTCGAATTGCAGTTTAGCCTCTTCTTCACATTATTTTCTCACTAAAGGAAAGTGTCACCTTTTGCTTTTTGCCAAAGATTTTCGCGCAGGTACGGTAACTTTTATTAAAGAATTATTTTTTTAATATACCGATAGTGTATATATTATTGAACTTGAAAAATATGACAATTAGTTTTAATTTTAATTTGAAATTTATGTTTTGTATATGTGCACGTACCCAACCCCACTAATGTATACATAGTTTTTTTTTATGCATAATATATACATATCTTTTTTAAAATGAATTGTATTACATAATCAGTATATAAAAGTTTAATCTTTTTCTAAAATGGATTGGAATGCAACTCTCCACCATTAATTGTTGTTTCATGGCCTCTTCATTTCATATTCATGATCCATTTAGGTGCCTTGTTCGAGTCTCCCTCTCCTGCTTTTCATCTTTCTTTCTAATTTTGTCTTTGACTAGTTAACTATAACTACGGAATGGCAATGAATGAAAAGTTTTCAAGATAGTATACATACAAAACATACATATACATTCACATTTATTGACCTCTTACATTTAAATACTTATCTTATGTAATTTTATTTTTTCAAGAAATTAACACTTGAAATCTATCTTTGCAAGCTTTTGGTGAAGTAATACTTGAATTCTATCCTAACAAATGTCCATCGAGACAAATCCCATACTAAATGGCTTTTGATAAAAGTAAGTATTGAGCATTTATATCTGTAACTTTTTGCTTATGTTTAAGACAATTGACACTAATTTACTTTTCCAATTGTAGAAGTATTCAAATCCGCCTCGCTTGCTATTTTTATGAGTTTTTGTAAAAAAATAAATTGTAACGATTTGATGAATGTGAGATAAAAAGGTGATCGAAAATGTATTCACGAAAATATGTCTAATAGAATAGGTGATTGAAAAATATGTTCACGAAAAATATAAAAACTTTTCTACAGAAAACCCTAATCCAAACAAGGCCAACTAGAAAGCATAATCAGAATTCTCAATCTTTACCATCTAACTACAGACAGATGAATTGAATATAATGACAGACTTCATAGTACTCATTCTTTACTGTCGAATTGCACATGATAGAACATAACGAAGCACTTGAGCATCTTCTAATCACAAAATTTTGCTTTACACTGCCTTCAAAAGAAAGCAAAGCTAACCCAAAGAATTTCTCATGCCAACACACAATTTACTAATTTAGCACCATTTCACGTGGGGGTGGCCACCAACAAAGCCACAATCACTCCCGAAAAGAAAAGAAAAGAAAAGAAAAAAAAGACCACAATTATACCAATCACAACAATGTCCCAATCAGAAAAAATCCATGAAATAATAACACCACCACGTAGGCATCAATTATCAGACAATCTCATTAGTAATTCCACCACCCACAGGACACAAGCCCGCACCGCTCGTTGGATTCACCTCGATATTCCCTCGAACGCTTTCCCTGTTTTTCCTTCCGACCATCTGTTCGACAAAAAGCGTGACCCAACTCCACACACGCTTATTATTATTCTACTATTCCCCCACCTCTCCGCTTCCTCTCTCATATCATTTGTCATGTCCCCTTGTCCCTCTTTTAATCCTCTGCCGGCCTAAATTCTCTCAAAATTAGATTATCTGAAGGGGTCAAACCCGAAGTTATAGCAATGGGCCGTGGGATAAAGCTCGAAAATTTGTGAAAACGATGCTTTTCTCCGCCGGTTGCGTGTCTTGGCTTGTGGGTTCTCTATATGTATGTTTTTTTTGGGAGTGTATTAAAGTAACGTGTGGAGTATGGACCATGCTGTTGCTGTCTTGTGTCTTGTAGGGGATATCAAGAGCAGTGAGCTAGTCTTTTTGTGTGCAAGAATTACTGGGGACTCAGTGGCTTAGCTGTAAAGTGGTGCGAGAAAGGGAAAGAGAGAACCCTGAACGTAAAAATGATTACTTTGATTGATTTGTGCTCAGAATTTACTTAATTTTGGAGGGGTGATTTGGGTTTGACTCATTTTGACTCTGTTCTTGTGGTTGCTATGGTTGGTGGCCTGCCCTGACTTTATTCTTTAGGATGGGGTTTATTTAATTTAATCTGGTGATAGGACTTATCTGGTCCTCTGATGCTTCTTATTCAATTCAAAAGAGAGCGAAAAACAGAGGAAGAGAGTTAAATTGGACTGAACTGATTGACTAATTGTTCTTATAGAGGAGAAGGTCTGTTGAGTCCTCAGGGGGGGCATTGATATGGCTCCTGCAGCAAAAGTTACTGGTTTCCGCCGTGAAGGCAATGACTGGTATGCTTCTGTCTATTACTTAATTGCTTATTTATGTTAGATTCTTGATAAAAAATCATATGTGAAGGCATCAGCTCCGGGACTTGTTCAAGTTATTTGCTTTGATCCTGTCAATAATCATCATGTTCTTTAACACTATAGAATTAGCCTTTGGCATCCAAATATAGTAGATATAGATTGTGGTGAATTGTGGAACTTGTTATATTTGCAGTGCCTCCATTATTACGCATGATTGGGATCAAGGAATAGGAATTCAGTTGTGGCTCTTATAGCCTGATTGTCCTTGGGTAAATATCCTGACTGTCCTTGTTCAGTTCAGTTACCTGTCGCAAATATGGTTTATAGTTCAGAATAAGATTTGAATTTATTGAACTGCCTGTACACGAATTGGTGTCAGAGTGAGGAATGTGAAGGAGGCATGATTATGAGCAAAAACAATTGCTATCTCTCTTATTGAAGTTGGAACTTGAGTTTAATCGTCATTCTTCATTCCCTGACATGTAGTAGGATGCCGAACATGTTTTGACTTTACATACGTTACACACACTTACCTGGTACATGAGCTTTAAATCAAATTAAATCGATTTTGATTTATAATGAACTTCACAGGTTCTATAATGCAACTCTACCAAGTGACATAACTGTGGTGGTAGATGGTGTTAACTTCCATCTTCACAAGGTATTTCTTATTCTTTGTGCATCTGGAAATATATGAGATCTATTTTTGTATTTTGTTGTTCTTTTGGTGGTACTTTTTCTGTTGTTCATCTTGAGTTGGTTACTGATGTAGTGCCATTTGTATCTGAGTAGGTCGAAGGCAATGATCTTGTACTGTGTTAAACTTCTCACATCAAAGCATATTGACCTTTCCAATTCCCTAGGTGTTTAATCATATTGATAAATGTCTGCTTTTGCATGTCCATTGCTTTTAGAACGTGACTGTCAGTTGATTATTTTGCAATTTTGCAATTACTATGAATCTCTTTCTGACATTTTGTTTGTTACATGTATGAAGTTCCAATGTCCCGCCTTTTAGCAACAAAAGTGTTTCTTCTCTAAAACAATTTGTGAGGACTCCAAGGATGTTGTCTTGTTTGAAATGACTGCGATCTCTCTATAAATCAGTACACTGTTTTTTTTTTTAATAGCTCATTTCTTTGTGTTTTAGCACCTCTGTTCATTAGGTTCTTAAGTGGTTTTAGAATTTTAATAATTTTTTTTTAAATTTAAATTTCGCCTTCTTCTTGCTTAATGCACAACTGTTTTCCTCTTCTGTGGCTTGAGGGGAGGGGTCAGTACTAATTTGAGTTGTGTGGGATTTCTTTGACTTTTTCCTTGGAATTGCTTTTTTCTTCTCTTTTAATCCTCATTTTCTTTGCTTTTTTTTTTTTTGTAGTTTTCTTAATCATGAGGATAATATTAACTTTTCTTTGTCTCCAGTTTCCACTGGTATCAAGATGTGGGAGGATTTCCAACATAATCGAAGAATCTGAAGAATCCACTGATGGGAATTTCATCACAACTTTTGAAGACTTCCCTGGTGGCAGTGAGACATTTTTGGTCATAATAAAATTCTGTTATGGTGGGCGGGTGGAATTTACAGCAAGAAACATAGTAATGGTATATTGTGCAGCGGACTACCTTGAAATGACAGACGAGCATGGAGAAGATAACTTATTGTCAAAGTCAGAAGGTTTCTTCCACAATAATGTTTTAAAGAACTGGAAGGATTGCCTTTTGGCTCTCCAAAGTTGTGAACCAGTAATTTCAAGAGCAGACAAGCTGCAAATTGTCAGTAGATGTTTAAATGCTGTCTCTGTGATGGTTTGTACAGATCCTAGTCTCTTTGGATGGCCTATGTTGATGTATGGTAGTTTACAGAGCCCTGGGGGTAGCATTCTATGGAATGGAATCAATACAGGTGCAAAGATCCAAAGTACCATGGAATCAGACTGGTGGTATGAAGACATTTCATATCTGAGTGTGCATTTGTTTGAGAGGTTGATTCATACAATGGAAGGAAAAGGTATAAAACCAGAAAATTTAGCAGGTGCTATAATGCACTACTGCAGAAAGTACCTTCCTGGTTTGGGCAGATGGCAGGGTGGACAGAGTGGTAAACCCAGAACTGTTGCAAGTTTCAGCATGACTCCAGCTGCCGTTGACCAAAAGGTTCTTTTAGAAAGTGTTACAAAGCTGCTCCCTGAAAAAAAGGGGACATTGTTTTGCCGATTTCTGTTAGGGCTTCTACGAGTAGCATTGATATTGGGTGTCAATCATACATGTCAGGACTCTTTAGAGAGAAGAATAGGGGTGCAACTGGATCAAGCTACTCTAGATGGTCTACTGATACCATGTTACTCAGACTCTGATACATTATACAATACTGATTGTGTAGAGCGAATGATTCATCATTTTATGTCTTCTGAATCGAGGCTAACTTCTCTATCCCCATCATCTTTTGATCTAGAAACATCTCCATCATCAGGACCATTGAAGAGAGTGGCAAAGTTGGTAGATGGATACATTGCTGAGGTTGCTTCTGATGTGAACCTGAAACCCAACAAAATGCGTTTGCTTGCAGAAGCCTTGCCAGAATCTTCAAGATCTTTGCATGATGGATTGTACCGAGCGCTGGATATTTACTTAAAGGTAACAATAAGTTCACTGCTGCTTATCAACTTGTGTGTCACGTAAAATTTGTGAATTAATTGCTGGTAACTTAGTTTTATTAATGGAATGTCGTGCAACTCCAAAGCAGTTTCCTTTTTCTCCTTTATGTTAGGAGTTCTGCATAATGATGTGTTTCTGACTTTCTGTGGTACTGCATGACTTGTGTATAAATTACTTGCAAAATCCTTTTGCATTTGATACACAGCAATCAACTTAATTCAGTCCTTTAGGACCTTTATGATCCAGATGAAGCTGAGTTTTGCTTAGGAAAAGAAAAAGGAAATGAAAGTGCGATGGACGACAGTTTGGCTGACAGGTTCTCTCATATTAAAGTAATTTTTATGTTCGAAGTATTTGCAGTCAACTGAATTAAAGTGCTGTCTATAGTCAAAGAAGCTCCCCAAATGATGTGAACAAGTCATGTTCTTGTTCTTGGAAAATTGGGCTCTAGAAAATGATTTTTCTTAGTTCGTATCATTATTTCCTCTTCAGCTTTCTGATTACAGCACATCTTAAATTGCTAGAGGCTTCCTTATAATTCAGTTCTTATTTCTGAAGCAGTTGTAATTTTCTTCAAAAGACCAGAAAATGTTATTTTAGTTAATTGTTTCAGCTTTTGTTTGATTTCATTGCAAAGAGACTGTTTATTTTTCTTAAACTCGTGATCTCCAATTGGGGACATTTATGAATATGTCTAGTTTGTAACAGTTCCCTTGTGATTTTGTGTTATGTTTTAGCCTTCACTTGATATATGCAGTGCGTCTTGGCTACACATGCGTATAACATGCTTCAACACAGATACACGCAGTTTTCTGTGTACCTGCTATTTATACTCCTACAAAGGTGACCAACAAAGCCTCTTATTATCCTAATGTAGAACATTCTCATGAACTTGTACAGGAACACCCTTGGCTTCCTGAGAAAGATAAGCTATGCAACATTATTGACTTTCGGAAGCTGTCCATTGATGCTTGTGCTCATGCATCTCAAAATGAAAGGTTGCCACTCAGAGTTGTTCTTCAAGTGCTGTTCTTTGAGCAGTTGCAGCTGAGGGCAGCTCTTGCCGGCTGCCTCCATGTCTTGGATGCTGAAACTGCTCCTCCTGTTCCAATGACTGTCCCGAGTGACATGGCGGGTCAGATTCTCCAGAGAGATGGGTGGATGACAGTTGCTCGTGAGAACCAGGTATTAAAAGTAGACATGGAAAGGATGAGATCTAGAGTTGGAGAGCTTGAAGAAGAATTCACTAAAATAAAGCAAGAGATGAAAAGGGTGGCAAAGTCATACAGCTCTATCAGTTCTCCTCGTTTCATTGCAAGGAGGATGGGATGCAATCTGCTTCCCCAGTCTTCAGAAGCTCAAACAGATGTTGTTGAAAGTACAGCGCCTACTCCTAGGGCATCAGGTGAGCATGGAAGACTTTCCCTTCAGTCAAGACACCGCAAAAGTTTCTCTTTGTTTTGAAAAATCGTGACATTACCAAGTCTTCTTAGATACCCTGATAGTAACCCTGGAAGGTTGGGTCTGAGCTCGTTTCTCATGATATAATGTGTATATTGAGGTGCCAAGTCATTCGCTGTCAAGATGTTCTTTGACTTTTGAAGGCTTGAAGGAGGTACTGATTTGGTGAAATATAATGCAATTTTCTTGGAAAAGGAAGGAAGGATAATTTGAAGACAAATTAGTATTCGTTCTCAAAAAGTTTGGCTGACATTCCGTTCTCAACATTAGTATAGGCGAGTAAATACATTAAGTCGACTCTAGAGAGGGAAAAAAGGAGGTATATCATTTATAGTTTTCAGATTCTTTTGGGTTCATACATGTACAGCTCCATTTGATAGGATGTGATTTTGTAAGCAGGTGAAATTTTGGTTGATTTGGACAGAAACTCTGTCCAAGTCAATTGATCCCTATGTCTGAAATGTAGTAACAATCTAGTGACATGTTCATCTCATGAAATTTTCAGATTAAAAAAGTAAATAGTCAAGCTGCTTAACCCATGTAAATTCTTGGTTTACATCCAACTCGCATGCCTAGCAAATTAGTCGATGTTGCTGTGTATGCTTTTGTTCTCTTTGTTTCGCTAATGTATAGCACCACGGTAAGTTTTATCAGCAATCACATGGTAAAGTTGCTTCAGGCACCGAGAAAGATGAAAATTCAAAGGCTTTTCTTGCTTGTTTATCTTAGTTATGCTGTCTAAGCTTTGAGGCGAAAATCGGAGAGGCAAAATGCTTCTGGAGATGTTTATATTAGGAACTGACAATGCTAAGGACGGGGATCAAACAAGTTCTGATGCAATGCTGTGACTTCTGAGCATGTCCCTCTATGAACACAATTAGGATGAACGCAAAATGTGTCCTGATATTGCAGTTGCTGCTTATGCTTATGGAGGCTAATTTACATTAATAGTTATAATATTCTGACATTGGAGTAATACAACAAGAATAAGTTGAAAACAAGACTCTATATATTGTTCTCCTCTTCTTTGTAAAAAAAAGATTCTGTGTGTATTGTTAGGGGTTTGGAAGTAGGAAGCATTTATGAGAACAGGGAAGGAGGAAAAGGAGAGATGGGGTTCGGAACGATTTTCAGTCCTTGTTTGGCAAGCAAGTTTTTAGCCAAGTTTGTCTGTCACAAGTTTTTTAACAACTTTTAGTTTTAGCAATCTCAAAAAACTTCTCAAAATTTTTAAACTATACATTTCAAAATATTCAAAAATTTACACATTTTAAAATTTTTTCTACAACTTCTACAGTAAGTTACAGCAAGGTTTTAGACAAATACCCAAAAAATTTACTTGACAAACTGGGCTTCAGTTTCAATTGTACGAGATATATGGTGTATAATAATACTCATATTATGCATGTTTATCAACAAAGTAAAAAAGGCTAACTCTACTCGTGTAACTTATTGAAAATTGTTTGAAAAATCAATCTCAATTACTATAACAATTAGGCATAAATTGTTCATTAAAGCTGTTTCTATGATTATTAATAGAGTACGAGTGAGGTTATAAAATTAGGGAAGAAAAGTAGTGCCCTTGAATTTATATATCTTTTTTCTTGAATTGCCTGTTGCATGATGGAAAAATAATAATAATAATACGTTCTACATAAAAAATAAAATAAAATAAAAATAACTCGAGCCAAAATTTCCCACTTTTCATGCTTTGTTTGCCCATTTGACATTTGGTAGTTGGCCGACGGCCAGGGACTGTATACTGAAACTTTGTAACATTCTAAGGGGCATAATTACAAAATGACAAAATTCCAGGTGTCTAAATATAAATAGTCCTACAAATAAAGCTGCCACTCTAACAACAGTGTGCCATAAACCCTACTATGTGGGATCTTACGAGTTACAACCTATACGGAACCGGATTCTTGATACTTCACCCAAAGGCCAAAAGGCCCAACGCTTTCGTGCTGGATTTTTTCTTGATAATTCATTGATAACTGATTTAAGTGTTGACAGCCAAAAAGGAAACAGGTATAGAACTTTTGTATTTTTGGTAATAGCTTTACATTGACAAGTATGGCTATTTCTTCCCAGAGCTTGAGCTTGGCATTGAAAAACCTGTCAATTTCGCCAAATGAAAGCAACCAATTCGCTGCCCAGAGTGTTGACTTCCAGTTCAGGCTTTTGGGTTCTTCCAAAAACTCGACCTTTTCCAGCTTTTCAATCAGAAATGATGGTAGTTTCAGGGAAAATAATAGGAGTAACAGTTGCCAAGTGTTTCAGCTCAAATGTAGCGAATCGGATTTTATTGCGAAAACGAGTGCTCTCGAGGAGGTTATAGAGGAACCCAGAATTGATAATGGAAGTGGAGGAGATGGCGGCAATGGGCGATTGCCGTCTGGCGGTGGAGGTGGCGGGGGCGGGGGCGGGGGCGGAGATGAAGAAGAAGAAGGTGATTTTGATGAAAAAGAATTCGGGCCTCTTTTGAAGTTTGAAGAAGTGATGAGAGAAGCTGAAAAACGAGGGGCGACTCTGCCTTCTGATATGTTAGAAGCTGCCGAGACTACTGGGATTCGGAGCTTGATTCTTAGCCGTTATTTGGGTTTACAGGTGGAAATGCCTGCTTATGATGTTTAAATTTTTTCCCCTGGTCATGGATTTGTTGCTATTGCCATCTTGATACTGTTGGTCGATGGATTGTTAATTGGAGTGTTTCTGGATTGAATTCATAATGCAGGGGTCAGTTTGGCCGTTGGGATTCTTGATGAGGTACTGCTCTATGCTCAGGAATCGAATGCTTGCTGATCCAGCGTTTTTGTTTAAAGTTGGGACAGAGGTTAGTTAAAGACTTTGAACTGGGTTATAATGTTGAATTATTATGTATGGGAACATGTATTGCTTGCCAAAAAGGATTATTCTTTGAGCTTAGCTATGGCAGTTATGCCTGTGGGATGTGTGTTTTTATTCTAATCGTTAATCAAGGACAATTGCTCATTTTGGCCCATACGGAATGGTTTAGGGATACTCGTTTAGCTGTTTCGGCTGTTTTTTGGAGTTTGTCAGGGCTTGCTTTTCTTGTGGATGCATGAAATGCTTGACACAAATACCAAATGGAACCTGAAGTGACAACATTGACATTAGAGTGATGCATTATGTCTGTTTTCCTGTATTCTTTGAACCTGTGAAGTTGCATGGCAGAAAAATGCACAAACTAAAGAATAATTTCATGGATGAGGTTGAAATCGAGTTTGTAGCTTTCAACCTTGTAGACTGGACTTTTGTGGTGAACTTTCCAGTTTAGTTTCAACAAGTTATCCAACTTTTGTTAATGTATTTTCTGTTGGGCTGTCATAAGTAACTGGATGTCTTGTATTTTAGGTGGTCATTGATACTTGTTGTGCAACATTTGCGGAAGTTCAGAAGAGGGGTAAGGATTTTTGGGCCGAGTTCGAATTGTATGCTGCAGATGTTTTGGTTGGGGTGGTAGTTGACATTGCTCTGGTTGGCATGCTGGCACCTTATGCTCGTATTGGGAAGAGATCTGTTTCGAGTGGCTTTTTAGGGCGACTACAACTTGCCACTGCTTCTCTCCCAAGCAGGTATAATAGCTTATAGGATCTTAATGTTACTGTCATTTGTTCTCCTTCATCTTTTAACAGTTGATAGTGATGACCCCCTGTGTGGTTGACTTTATCATAACATAGATATTGCCATTGAAGCTGATCAAGGGGCTGTTGAAAACCAGCAATCTGGTGGTAGGAAGCAGTTGATGATAAAATATTGCACTTCAAAAGAAAACATCTGTTGTGACTTGAAAGTTAGAGATTCACATATAGAAACCTTAAAGTCAAGTCAGGTGTATAAGATTTGAATAAATTGCTTCCTATTCTTCCAGATTGGAATGCATTTTAAAGATTGCAAAGCTGTAAAGTAAAACTAGCAACTGAGTGTCTTTGATTACCCAACATATGTCATGACCAGCAAAATTATACAGGAAAAAATTTTGCTGGTGTTGGTCAAAACCTCAAAGGTTGTTGATTTAGGCAATCAACCGATCATTAGGTGATGCTCTTATATAAATAATTCCAGCTACTTCTGTTGCACAATTAGGATTTATAGCCTCAATTACTAGTCTGCGCGTTAGAGATATAACTCAGTTTCAGAGTTACTCCATGTATTAGGACTAAAGATTTTTCTCCTTTTAAAGCATGCATTACCCCATGTTGTACTGAATACCATTAAATATTGCAAACTATCAGCTGATTGTATTTAATTGCTACTATCCCAATTTTGACAGGGTTTGTGCCTAATATAAGATTAATTAGTTAATACTTGAGTGTCCTGTGAATACCTCAATCCCATGCCCCTTTTTAGTCTTATACTTCTGGTGTTTATTGGGCTAGCAGAATTGCGTGCATCTTGTTTGCTGTTACAACTGACTATTTAGGTGTTTAATTGTGAATATTTTGGTTCTAGTGTTTTTGAAGCTGAAAGGCCAGGATGCAAATTTTCAGTCCGGCAACGAATCGCTACATACTTTTACAAGGTAATACATTTTGTAGATACACCGGGTGACAATTACTATATTTGGTTACCAGGCTTGAAGTCTTGAAGGGAGCATATGTCCCCTATCATCTCATTTTATTTAGTTAAAAGCTTTCCCTGATCCTCTTTTTTCTGTTAATGGCATGCATTCTTGTTCCAATGTTAACATCTTGCTTTCCCAGTTCATCTGTGATTTTTTATGCTACTTTCTGTCGGATCCTTGTTGAATATTTCTCTTGTTGACCACCTAACTTATGCTCGATCCAGGGTGTATTATATGCTGCAGTTGGATTTGGCTCTCTCTCTGACTTATCTATGTTCTTTTCTTTTTTGCTTTTTCTCTCTTCTAATTTTTTCCTGATGGCCTGATGAACATATGACTTCCAATTTCTTAGGCACAAGGTAAGTGCCAATTGCACGGTCAAATCAACCGCGTGATTTTTTTTTTTTGGAAAAGAACGTTTGAGTGAATACGATTCTATGAAAGGATCTTATGATCCTTAAATTTGGATGTAGTCTGCGAATCATATAGGTTTGAGCTATTCTTCAAATTTTTCTGAAATTTAATAACTTGATTGGGTACATTGTTCTTCATTTCCCTGGTGCTGGTCATTTTTCCTTCCTTCTGCCTGTGTCATTGAAGCACATGTTTGATAACAATCTGATGGATTTCTTATTTCTGCCATCTCATGTGCCTTTGATTTAAGTTGCTGACGGACATGAAAAGAAAGACCTATGCTTGAACCTTGGTGTTCTCCTTCTGGTTAAATTCCTTGAGATATGTGGCTAAAGTTCAAGCCTCCAACAATCTTCTTTCAGAAAAAAAGAACCTACTAGTCTTAACTTGTTAACCAGTATTCTGGACAAGGCGTTGCTTGGGGCTTGAATTGGAAGATTTTTTAAGAGAACTTCTGCCATGAGTTGCCTGTCCTCATTCATTTGGTGTTATTCATTATTCTCATTTGTTGCCAGGTGTTTTCCTAGCAGTCTCCTCCAATACTCGTTATCAGATTATTAATGGCTTGGAGCGATTGGTCGAAGCATCGCCTGTAGCAAATCGAGTCCCACCTGTTGCGATGGCCTTCACAGTTGGTGTGCGATTTGCTAACAACATCTATGGTGGAATGCAGTTTGTAGATTGGGCAAAATGGAGTGGAGTGCAATAATAGCATCCATCAGATATCTCATCCATGTATTTTTGATTGATTGAAATATTCATTAGGTTAGATTTTTTTGGTTTAAGTTTTCCCAGCCCTTCTCCAACCCCGCCCTGCTGCCAGGAGAGTGGTGTTTTCCCTAGCTTAAATAAAAGAAGGAAAATAGCAGAAAGAAGAAATAGTAAAGGAAAGAGAGAGAACTGATGATGCCCTTGGCTTAAGCAAAAAAATTGGGTTTGTTTGGATAGGAGTTTATTTGGATGATTTATTTGAGATAATTACTGTAGCACTTTTAGTGATGTGATGTATGTGAGATAAAAAGGTAATTGGGAAGATAAAAAAGTGATTGAAATTTGTGAAGTAAATTATTTTATTTCAAAGCTATGCAATGTTAATTGTAAATTTTGGTTTTTGGCAAGTCCTTGCTTCAAGCTTGAGTGGGGAATTCGAAAAACAAGTAGAACATTTTTTGAGAATGCACTGTTGTATCTTGGGGCTTGTTTGGTGCCATGTATCCGTTGGGCTTAAAAATGTGTCAATTATCAGAAAGAAATGGCTCTGATTTTTTAACAACAAACACGATGTCAGCTGGACGGTAGAAAGACATGTACAGTAAACATGGTAGAAAGACAGGAATTTGATTGCATATATGTATAGTCCATCAGGTGTTCAAAAAGAATAGAAGAAAAAGTAGATAATCAAGAAAATCGAATTAATCCAAATAAAAAATAGGGTAATGAACTTGCAATTCTTGAAATGATTAGGTTACTCGAATCTATTTAAAAAATTATATTAGAATATGGTTCTTAATTTTTGAAAATCATTATTATTTGGACCTATCTGCATATGTGGCACAAATGTGTAGGATATGTGGGATGGGTTAGGATAACTAGTAGCCAAATCCAAACCCCAACCCCAACTCATAATTATTTAGTCAATTTAATTTACTAATAATTTGAGTTATGAGAACTATTATATATTTTATTTTTCAAAACTTATAAACTCATCTATCTAATTCTAACTCCCAATTACCTTTTTCACTTTCTACATGCGTCGCCACTAATTTCATTTACTCTGCTTCTCTCTCTCTTTTTTTTTTTTTCCAAAACTTCTTTTCTTTCCTCATAAATTCTATCAACCCTATCACTCTACTAAATATTTTGTTTTTAATGTTTAAAACTTACATGTTTGGTTGTGCAGTAACCTATCATCCTTATTTGGAAAAAAATAAAATTGATTGCTTTCAAGAAATAGAGAAAACGAAAACAAATGTTTATAATATTCAGTGTTTAAATTATCTAATGTGTTTTGATTTTCTATGTTGTTGATAGATTTTTAGAATTGTAAGATTAAATACTCTTATTGACTTGAAAAAATATTATATTATTTGATTTGTTAATCTAATTCTTTTTTGTTTTTTATACGTAGAAGAAGATTAAATTATCATGTACACTCAATCCTATCTCACAGATTAACCGGTCACTGATTAACCGATTCAGCTGGTTACAGTATGGACTGTAATTTTGTTGATCGCTACATGTGATTAGCGTCAGTGAAATCGTACACACATGGATTATTTGATCCCTGAGCACCCCTAATAATCCCTGCTGAAACTTTTAGCGTCCCAAGTCTATGTGTGAACATTTGCAGCGAAATTTCCTCTTGTCTCTAATGGGTTGTTTTGACAAGTCAGCATTGAGTGGTATGAGCCTATGAAGAGTCACAAAAGTGGACCGACTTTTGCCAAATTCTTCAAGCCCAAAAGCACAATGGTTCAAAGTTCAACCGGTTTACATCATAGCAGGTCATTACTCATTATATGGTTGGGAATCAATTCTAGAAACGCCAAAGATAAGCCTTATTTGGACCTTCTCTCTCAAGTTGGTGGTTTAGGGTCGAGTATTCGCCCGACAAGGGTATTATCAGGCTTACATCTGTGATGTCGAGAAGGGAAAGAACCAAGTAAAATGAAGGAAGGAGACTGGAATTTCTTGAATAACATTCCTATGATTTTCATGAATTTCTTGTTCCCTCGTTACTACAGTATCCATTTGTGAAAAAATCTTTCAACATTTGGTCTGAGTTAAATTACTCTACTATGTGTGTCTCCTATGTGTGATAAATAATTAGATTTCGAATCTAAATGCTTGTATTTTAACAGATCAAATATGACAATTGAACAATCATTAATACGTCTAAATTCTATCTAATATTTTATATACATATACATATTAATAGTTATTTTTTTTTTGTATTTATACATTTTTTTCTAATTAATTTTACATTTTCAAAAATTTAATACCTGAAATATATTTTAACAAGCGCTCAGAAAGTTTCTGTTAGACAGACCGTATGATAAAATAAAACAATACTACAATCTAATTAATGGTAAGATAGGTTTGAAAGAACTATATGGCATATGTTCTGGCTATTTTTGCTACTATTTAAAACTGCAGTAATAACAATTAAGTTTTCATTTAAAATATCTCTTTATGCCTTATTAGTTGCTTTGCTTTGGATATATTTATAGCCTTTTGCCTTCATTTTTTGCAGCCTAATACTAACAAAAAAACGTACGGTCACTTCAACTTATGAAAACAATTAATCAAATGTGAAATAAAAAATCAATGATAAACTTGAAGTTCATAGGCAGCATTCATCAACAAAAAACTATAAAAAAAAAAAGAGGGAGATTCAGGTGTTTGAATTGCTATATTTAGGATTTTTTATAGAAAAACGTACTATAACGATTTTATTTATGTGAGAAAAGAAGGTGACTGGTAAATGTATTCATAGAAAATGTAAAATTTTTATTTTTGGTGGAAAATCACAAAATAGGCAAAAGAACAACTGATGAAAGTTTCTGACATTTTCAACAGGCTTTTCGCATTTGTGCTTCAAACGGTCAAACCACAAACCCATCCCCTTTTCGGGTCGGTCACGAAACCCGGATCCACATCCTTCTGGTTCTTTTCCAGTCAACAAGCTTTAAATTGGGAACTAAAAACCAAACCCAAAAAGAAAAATAAAAATCGAGTTTTAAATGTTAATGCTATAGCGGAGTCAATAAATAAAAAAAATTTAAAAATAAAGCGAAATGATGGCGTCATTTGCTGTAAAAAATTGTAGTATACTAAAAAAAAAAAAGAAAAAAAAAGTCGTCTTTCTTCCTCAGCCTATCTATCGGGCCCCGACGGCTCTTTCCAAATTTTCTCCTCAGTCCACCTCTGTCTCTCTCTAGATCACGCCTCCAAACACCCACTGTTCTCTCTCTATTTGTAAATTCAAACCCTAAACATTATTTTTCACTTTCAGCATTTTGATTTTTACTCGGTGAATTCCACCTGGAATTTTGATTAGATGCATTCATTTTGAAGAAACCAAAGCAGAGGATTAAGATCTTTCAATTGTAACCGGACCAAGCGTTTTGAGTTGGATCTGGACCGGAGTTGTGATCGGACCGCTTGGAGATGGCGTTGTCTGGCATGAGAGGGCTGTCGGTGTTCATCAGCGACGTCCGCAATTGCCAGAACAAAGAACAAGAACGCCTCCGCGTCGATAAAGAGCTCGGCAATATCCGTACTCGCTTCAAAAATGAAAAGGTACTTCATTTATTTTTCTTTGTTGTAATCATTTTTTTAAAAGCTTTTTTTAATTCGATATGAGCTGTTGAGCTGAGGGGACTGTATTTTTGTGGAGTTGTGTTTAGGTTTTTTTGTGTTTAAGTGGTGCATTTGTGTAAATTAGGTTCTTTATCGAGTAAAGAGGGCTTTGAATGTGTTGGCTTAGTTTAAAATTTGTGGAATTTGAAGTCCGAATTCACTTTTTAAGGCTTAGTCGAAATGTGTTTGGAGTGTTTTATGGTTTTGTAATTTTGGCTGGTTTTGGATGCTTACTTTCTGTTTGAATTCTGTCATTGGCAATTTGATTAGTAGAGGCCTTTCTATTTCAGAAATTTTGAGTTGATAATCTTAGATGGAATTTATGTTTGGAAAGGGTTAGTTGGACAAAAGAAGAAAAAATGTGTTAAGAAATGAAAATGAGCTAGCATTTTGTTGGTAGTGAATGCTGATAATTCGGAAGGGGTGTAGACGAGTAATGTTGAAATATTGGCATTTGTGGCTGCATTTTTTTTCTTTTTCGCTAAACCTTCATTTTCTTCTTGTACTTTCAACACTGAAAATTACTTGGATGAAAGTTGTGATTTCTTCGATGTTATTTGATGGACGTTGTTAGATCATGCACGGCTATTTCTCCAAATTCAGTATAATCGGGAAAGTACTGCACTACTTGCACAGCTTATAACACGTTCAATCCATGGCAAAGACATAGTATGATCTGTGTGAACTGGTAGGAGCTGGGGGTCCCACCATACCTTCCTGGATTTGTGGTTTAGAATAATTCGCTAGTATGTTCAGTTAAGTTATGATTAAGCCTTGAACTTCATGACCTTGTTGCTATATGTAGAATCGTTAAGAAGACTTAAGCATTCATAAATAAATTGCACCGGCCTCTTTGTTGTTGTTCCTTTTCTGGGTGGTGGCCTATAGCAAGGGAAAAAGGTAATCCATGGAGTATGTTAATGCTCAACTAAGTAGTGAAAGAGACAAGTTTTAAGTGGATAAGGGTTAGAAGACTGTACAAGACAGATTGATATTCAGGAAGCAGGGTATATAGTAACATTTTCAAAATATGAGAGATATGGCAAGTGGATGTTTGTGCGTCATTGACTCTGAGGTGACTGGCGTTGTTGTCCAAGGATTTCCCCTAGTAATCATGGTGAGATTCGTTTCAGTTAAAAGTCAAGTAGGCTTTTATTTGGGATTGTGGAAGTTTCCTTGTTTCAAATGCTCACTAACCAAGACCTCCTCTTCAATTTTAGAATATTTTACTGCAAAGGCAGAAGGAAACTGTAGTCCTTGTTTGTTTCAATCTTAAAATGAAGATTAATTTATCAAAACGTTCTTGTTGTGTGCGGTATCACTTTTGCTGACCTATGTTATTTTTATTTTTTCTCTTTTCCTGCTTTACTTATCTACTTGAGCCTGTCGCTTATTGTGGCCATACTCTGATCCTGAGGCTAAAGCATATAGCCATCATCAGCGCAATCAGTGGGAGCTACATGAAGCTCACTGATTTTTGTTTTTTGGTGGGGATCTTGGGAAGGTGATGTCTTTGAAAATTGATTTTTCAAAATTACAGTTGCAATTACCATGGCCTGAGCTACTTAAACAAAGTTTTGTAGCCTAATCACTGTCCATCAGCAGCAATGCTTAGGTAAAGTTATCAGAACTCAGCCTTATGTATTTCTTCTCAATGAACCTTCATGTCTTGCAATCATCTCCTGTCCTTGGTTGAACATGCAGTGAAGTTACTTCATTGTCTAACAATGTCCCAATTCACCATGTTGCGAGACCATAGGGGGCCGTTCTGGTGCAAACTGTAACAAATCGGTGCCCTATGCCAACAACTTTTGTAGCCCAAACTACTGATGTGATCTCCTGGTTATTTGTTTGATCTTGATCCTTCATTTGTTGCAGAATTAGAAATTTCAATTGCGTAAACCAAGTTGTGAGTAGTACGCGACCCAAAATCGTTACAAATTCTTTAACCAATCCTTAGATATATGAAGTTGAACAAACTGTTCAGTTATGACAAGAGCTCTGAGTAATGGACTTCCTTAGGGTGTTATTGCAGAAACGAAATTGTCTGCAATTTTTTTTTCTTACTTACAATTTTCGGGGTGTCTCTTATGGCCAGTTTTTATTTGCTAAACTTGGAGTTTGTAGCTTCCCTTGGGGCTGGTCAAGTTTAATATTTTTTTCAGAAATTTTTTTGTCAGCAACATTTTTCAGCATATTGCTCTGCTTGTCATTTTGGCATTCATATTGCTTGCAAATTTTGTTATATTCTGCGAGATCAAAATTTTCAACTGTATCTTAGAGATGAGTCTGATTTTGGTATTGTATGAGTTTTTTTACATATGTTTTGTTCACTACAGGGTTTGACTCCTTATGAGAAGAAGAAATACGTCTGGAAAATGCTTTACATATACATGCTTGGTTATGATGTGGACTTTGGTCACATGGAAGCCGTTTCTTTAATATCTGCTCCCAAGTATCCTGAAAAGCAGGTACCTGATGACCTCAGTTTTTGATAACACAATGCAATGATCTTGTCTTGTAATGCTAGTATTGTTACTTTTGGCAATAAGGTTTCAATCAATTGCTCAGAACCCAACTACGTTTGATTGCAATCAACTTAAATAAGCTAGTCGTTCACTACAATACATGTGCTGGATAGTTCTTATTGCATGTTTGATAATTATTTTGCTATGCTATATTTCTTGTTGCTTACATGCACTAAAATAGATTCTGTGTGAGATAGATGACATTCATTAAAAACTGGATCCTGTCAACTCATGACGATTATCTCATGTTAAGCATGCATCTAAAAAGTTTTGAATTTGCTGCAGCACTTTACATTTTTTTTCATTTGTTATATAGATGTGCTTTTTCCATCCTTATGCAGTACTTGTAATAATTGATGGAATCAAACTATAACTATTGGTTTTGAAATGATTTAAACTTTATTGCCAATTGAATGCAACAATCAGTTGGAGGACTAAGAACTTTTGATTTTTGGATTTGTTCTTGGATGCCTTGTGCCAATGTTATGGACAGTCGTTTGCTACACCCATTGAACCAGTAAAATTATCAAATGCTGAGCGGATGTTGCTTGTGACTTTGTTTAGTAAGCTTTCTGGCACATTGTGAGGTCAAAGCAGCAGCACGAAAACAGGTCCATTATAAAATCTGGAAATAGTCAGCGAATTTTGTTTGAATGTTCAAAGTTGATTCTGTAATATGCGTGCAATAGGGATGTTGATGTCTTTTTGAATTTAGCTCTTGCCTGGCAAATGTAGAAAAATTCCCCCTAATTTGTTAAATAGATGCTTTAGGGTATCCTTCATAGGATTTATTTACTGCTTACATTCATGAACTTTTCTACATTTGGTTCTGCTTTGGGACAATGATGTTATTGTGGGAATGTTCGACTGACTCGATCTGGCTGCAGGTTGGGTACATAGTGACATCGTGTTTGCTTAATGAGAATCACGACTTTTTGAGATTAGCTATTAATACAGTGCGGAATGATATCATCGGTAGAAATGAGACTTTCCAGTGCCTAGCACTGACTCTGGTATGGTTATAGACCTTTCTAGATAATTAGCAAATTTCTTTTATTCTTTTTTCGTTTTATTTTTGTTATGTCTTTATTTGTTGCCTTGTACAGGTCGGAAATATTGGTGGGAGGGAGTTTGCTGAATCACTTGCACCTGATGTTCAAAAATTACTTGTAAGCAGACAGTTTCTTGACTTTTGTTTGAGTACTAATGAGTTGAATATTTTTGTTGACAGTTTCTTTCCCTTCAGCTATCCAGTAGTTGCAGGCCCCTTGTGAGGAAGAAGGCTGCTTTATGTCTCCTACGCCTGTTTAGAAAAAATCCTGATGTTGTGAATGTGGATGGCTGGTAATTAGTATAAAATTGTAGACATATTTGATGGATAATTGTACCATTGCAAATTTGATAAGCTATTTGTTGTTATTATCAGGTCAGATCAAATGGCACAACTGTTAGATGAACGTGATTTGGGTGTCTTAACATCTTCAATGAGCCTTTTAGTTGCCTTAGTGTCGAATAACCATGACACATACTGGAGTTGTCTGCCAAAGTGTGTTAAAATTTTGGAAAGGCTGGCAAGGAACCAAGATATTCCACAAGAATACACTTACTATGGTATTCCATCTCCCTGGCTTCAGGTCTGTATGCCTTTTCTGTTAAACTCTGAGTTAGTTGTTAGGGCTGCAATACTGTAAATAACTCATATTGAATGGTTAACTTGCATTTATTGTTTCTTGAGTCCAAGATTTTGGATTTGAGCATAATTCTCAACAGAGAACTCCATCTTAAACTGTAAAGATGTAAATTCAGTTGTATTGGATCCTTTTTTAATTTGGACAATTCAGGTGGAGCATAATTCTAGATTTTAGAGGACTACAAATTTGTGAATCCCAAAAGTGCATGGATTATAATTTCAAAGCTGGAACTAATTGATTTGAGGGGTTAATCTTGGTGCATTTATTAAAATCACATTATTGGAGTTGAATTGAGCATACAAGGGAAATCATGTTACTCGCAGGAGAAAATCCTTTGGTAGGTATAGCGCAGAAAATTTTCTTTGATGGGCTTTCTTCTTTTGTATTTCAACATATTCTGGTGTGTGTCAGTAAGTACCATGAAACTTGTCTGTGCATAATACTTTTTGCAGGTTTCTATGGTGAGCCTTCATAAATCAAGACACGTTTACAGAAATTGCTCTTACAATTAGCAACAAAAATTATGATTTAGGACTTTTTTAGAAATGATCTTAAATCTTAAATTATCTGAAAGTTCTTAGGTTGAACGAGATTGATTTACAGGATGAACGGGTACGCACTTAGAGAGAAGCAGTTATAGAATGTAGAAGGGTATTCTTTGATGTAGTTTAGTTGCCATTGCATCTTGCATAATTTTGTGGTGTGAATGGATTTGGAAAAAGGAAAAAAGTGGGTGATTATATCAATTCAATTTTTTTCATCAATTAGTATCATGCAATATATTTCTTTAAGTGACGTTTTAAATTGTTAGTTATGTTTAATAATCACTATTACATGATCCAGGTTAAGACAATGAGGGCTCTTCAGTATTTTCCTACTGTTGAAGATCCAAACACTAGAAGATCATTATTTGAGGTGTTCTTCCTTTACAAATGAAGTTTTTGATGGTTTCTTCACTGAATCTTATATCCCAGTGTATTACTTGTTATTGGATATGATGTTTGATTTATCTTGGTTAATTAGGTTTTACAACGGATACTCATGGGAACTGATGTAGTGAAAAATGTCAACAAGAATAATGCATCCCATGCTGTGCTTTTTGAAGCCCTTGCTCTTGTAAGTTACCATTGAGTGTGTTGTACTGTAGTTAGTGATCATTTGTTTTAGGATTCTTTTGATGGGTAGATTTTTCAACAGTAAATTTGAGCCAAGAGGCCGATTGATTTGCATTATTTCCATAGTTTCTTTTGGAAGAATTATAATTACTGCTTGAGATATGTTTGAGATTGAGCAATATGAGTGGAAAGGTAATAGTGTCAGTTAAATTTCCTTTCCTACTGCAAGTACAAAATTTGAGAAGTAATTGATTTTCTGAATTTGGATTTAGTATCAAATGAGTAAAAAAACAAGTATGAACATTTAGGTTTTGAGCTATACTGCTGTGGAATTTTTTTCTTGAAATGTCTCATAAAAAAAAGAATCTTATTCTTATTTGCTCTTTATGTTTCCTGGCTAGAATGAATAGACTTGGTAGTTGTGTCATGATATTTCAAGAGACTTTTAGGCAGAATTCTGAACTTGATATATCATTGCAAATATGCTGTTTAATTGTATCTCAGTTATAGCCATTGCTTTCTTAAATGTGTTAAGGTTGCTCTAGAAAACCATGCTGCAACTTGTTTTGAACCAGTGGTTCGTTTCAAACTATTTCATCTATGCACATACTTAGTGGTATTTTTCCAAATTTTGTCATCTTTTATTCAGGTCATGCATCTTGATGCTGAAAAAGAGATGATGTCCCAGTGTGTTGCACTGCTTGGGAAATTTATTGCTGTGCGTGAGCCAAATATTCGATATCTTGGCTTGGTAAGTTGTTCCTTTCCGCTTTCTATGCACTGAAGTCTCTGATGTCCTACCCTTCTTCCTTCCTGCTGTTTTTGTATTGTCCTATATACTTCTGCTGCTTAAATAGGTTGTTTGCATTGTCCTAATAAGTGATGTTTAGAGCCTGCAGATGTGGCCCATCCACTCTCATATTAGAAAGTTTGAGATGGTGGCACTGACCTGGTTACTTTCTTTGTTCTGTGACACAGGAGAATATGACGCGGATGTTAATGGTAACAGATGTACAGGACATTATAAAAAGACATCAAGCCCAGATCATTACCTCATTAAAGGATCCTGATATCAGGTAGATGAAGTACTTTGTGTTCTTCTGTGGAATTTCCCTTGTGGTTCTCTTTTCTAACAGCTGCACAATAGGTAACTGAAGGCATGTAGAGTGAGATACATGGTCGTATCATGTAAGAAATATTTTCACGTGTAATATACAAGGTTGGTTACCTAGAACTTAAGATACTAATTCAAAGAAATAAGAAATTTTCACTGGATGCCGGAGCTTCTTTATTTTGCTAAAACATCAGTAGGTTACTATTAAGGTCTTTCAGTACAATATTTTTTTTCCTGTGAGATTGTTTTTGTGTGTGTGTGTGTTTGTGGGGTTTTTTTTTAACATGTATACATTGGAGTGTTAAGCCATCCGCTAATTATCTCTTTTTTTTTTTTTGGGTAAGTAAGGTTTTAGTAGTACCCAATGAAAATATAGAATTAATGGGGGGCGGACCCGAGGCACAAAACAAGTGATGATGAAACACAAATTATATCACACCACAAGTCTCTCACAAACTAAATACAAAAATCTGTTATTTATCTTTCTTATGATTGACTCTTATTCTTATCAACAGCATCCGAAGGCGTGCACTTGATTTGCTATATGGCATGTGTGATGTTTCCAACGCAAAGGACATAGTTGAAGAATTATTACAGGTATATATCTATATGTATGTGTGTATATATATATATATATATGCTGGACCAAGCACTGCAGATGTCCCGTCTAGCTTCTAAATTATTATTCGTATGTAGTTGCTTTTGTACTAATGCAAATGAAGTTCTTTCCCGTGCTAATGTTTATCTGTTTTCAGTATCTCAGCTCTGCAGACTTTGCTATGCGTGAAGAATTGTCACTAAAAATTGCAATTCTATCGGAGAAGTTTGCCCCTGATTTGTCATGGTATGGAAATGTCTCCAAAGATAAATACATATTTTGCTATCAAGCTTAGTCATTCTACTTGGTTGATTTGGTGTATGCTTGAATTGCAAATTCTTGGGTGGGATTGGTATTCTTAGGAGCTTCAAGTACTGTAATTTGCACAAATTTTGAATCTAACAAGTAGTAGTAGGAAACTCAGGAACTTCGAGTACTATAGTTTGTAGGCTTTCAAGTCCAAAAAGTCGGTATGGGATTTGATCCGTCCATTCATTCAAAGACCAACCTAAACAAATATTCAGTAACCTAGTAATAGAGTCCATATGTAATGCTTTTCACTTTTCACTTGTAGGTATGTGGATGTCATCCTTCAGTTGATTGACAAGGCAGGGGATTTTGTCAGTGATGACATTTGGTTTCGTGTGGTGCAGTTCGTTACGAATAACGAGGATTTACAGGTAACGAGGGTAGCTCTTTTCTGGATTTATATAATTTAAATCTTCATACGAGTAACCTATGTCTTTGTATTGTTTATCAGCCTTATGCTGCACTGAAAGCCAGAGAGTATCTTGATAAGCCTGCTGTTCATGAAACAATGGTTAAGGTTTGTTCCCATTGCCTTCAAATTTGATTAACAGGAATATGATGATCATTTACAATGCCTTCTAGTCTTGGTTTCCAAATAGCAAAATCATGTCGATCAACGCAATGGGTAGTCTTTTGGGGAGAATAAGCATATATATATGTACATTGTATGTACTTTGTTTATGCATACATAACAGAGATGTAAATGAACATAGTTCTTTTATCTATCAGTTTCACTTACTCTATCTAATTATGCCTGCTGATATTTTCTATTATCAGAGATTCTACTAGATCAATTTCCCATTTGAACATTTTTATAGAGCTTCATGTTAATGACATGCCAAGCATTCTGCATATTACTTGTTGATCTTCAAGGAGGAAAATCAATTAGCAGAATTTGATTTTGTGGTGCTTTTTATTTTAATGCAGTCAACTGATAAAGTAGACTCCACTTGGCCTTTCTGAATACTGAGTTTCCTGTAATTCTGAATTTTTTTTGGAATAGGTAAGTGCATATATTCTTGGAGAGTACAGCCATCTTCTGGCTAGACGGCCTGGATGTAATCCAAAAGAAATTTTCAGTGTCATGCATGAGAAGCTTCCTTCTGTTTCGTAAGGATTTTGGGCTTTGTTGTCTTTCATTCTCAGTATTTGTTCATTGCTATCCCTCCCTCATTTCAATATGTTTGTTCAGGACTCCAACAGTTTCTATTCTTCTTTCATCATATGCAAAGATTTTGATGCACACCCAACCACCTGACCCGGAGCTACAGTCTCAAATCTGGGCAATATTCAACAAGTGAGATAATTTCACGTTTTAATTTGAAATTCATCCAGTGAATGACTTAATTTCTTCAATGTCACTGGCACATTTTAACATACTTTCAGATATGGAAGTTGTATTGATGTTGAACTACAACAGCGGGCTGTTGAGTATATTGAACTGAGTAGGAAAGGTGCAGCTTTGATGGATATATTAGCTGAAATGCCAAAGTTCCCTGAGCGACAGGTGTGCATTTGAGATTCTCATTTATTCTCCAATTGTCTGTTTCATCAATTACAGCAATCAGCATTGTGGAAGAAGCACTCTTTGACTTGATTTTCACTTTAAAGTTGATTATTGTATTATTCTGATCCATGATTGATAAAAATTGTGGTGATGTTTTTTTGTTATGCAGTCTGCGTTGATTAAGAAAGCTGAAAATTCTGAGGCTGATACTGCTGAGCAAAGTGCAATGAAGTTGCGTGCTCAGCAGCAGAACTCTAATGCTTTGGTGGTGACCGACCAGCACCCTGCTAATGGACCTTCAACTGTGAGCCAGCTCAGTCTTGTAAAGGTGCCTGCCATGAGTAATGTGGTGAGATGACCTTCCCTGGATTTTAGTGAGCCAATTGTTGATATTGACGCTCTACTTCTTCACTGTCACATCAGATTATAATTTGATGTATAAATTTTCAGGATGGTGAATCTCCAGATCCAGCTGTGACTGAAGCAAATGGCACACTCACTGTTGTGGATCCGCCCTTTGAAGATCTCCTGGGTCCAATGGCTATTGAAGGCCCTCCTAGTGCTACTGCTGAAGCTGAGCATATTCAGGCCTCTGGTTTGGCTGGTGTGCCAAATGCAGGGGAGGCGTTGGCTATTGCTCCTGTTGAAGACCAGATGAACACTGTCCAGGTGCTTTCTTGTGCAAGTTGTAGGCTAATATTAGCACTGTCCAGTAGTGGAGACAACATTTTCTAGATTTTACGGTTGCAAAAATTTAAGAATTGGCAGTATATTAAGAAGTTATAGCTGGATTTTTCCCTAGGGTGTAATTTGTGTGAATGAGTTTGTTCTTATTTTAATTTTTAGCTTTTTCACCTTTTTCTTCTGTAACACGCAAGCGTATTTCTCCATACAGATTCCATGTCAAGGAAAATGACTTTGATGAGTTTTTTGTACGTTTAGTTTTTGCAAATGGCATAGGACTTCCTTTGGTGTTTATGATGATTATGTCATTTCTTGTGGTGTTTATGATTTTGAGTTTCCTCTCTGATCATTGCTTGCAGCCAATTGGAAATATTGCTGAAAGGTTTCATGCTTTGTGCCTAAAGGACAGTGGCGTGCTGTATGAGGATCCTTATATTCAGGTATGCTCTCAGTTTTGCAGTTTGGATGGGGCTGCTCAAGCCTCCTTTAAGCCTTCTCTGTAGACAACTGATTTCTTGGGGTTGAGTAATTTCAGATTGGCATTAAAGCAGAATGGAGAGCCCCACATGGGCGATTAGTGCTTTTCCTTGGAAATAAGAATACATCACCACTTGTTTCAGTTCAAGCTTTAATATTGCCTCCAGCTCACTTAAAATTGGAACTCTCACTTGTACCAGAGACTATACCCCCAAGAGCACAGGTTGGTTAACTGCAGGTTTATTTTCCATTTTCTTCTCTGTGTGCATTTCTTTTAAGATTGTTCATCCATTGAAAGCATCTGGTTTTGTTGTTTAGGTGCAATGCCCACTCGAGGTTGTTAATCTCCGGCCAAGTAGGGATGTGGCTGTTCTGGATTTTTCCTACAAGTTTTCGAGTCATGCGGTATTGTAACCCCATAATAAAGTTTTTGGCATTTAAACGAACTGATTTTGAGTATGAAATTTCTAGGGTTATTTATTATATTTTTTTTATTGGGTTGTGGTTTGAAATTCTTTTTATTTTCTCATAATACTTGTGGTATAATTCTAAATAATCTTTCCCTGATCACTTAACAGGTCAATGTAAAACTTCGCCTTCCTGCTCTCTTGAATAAGTTTCTTCAGCCTATACAAGTGTCCGGTGAAGAGTTTTTCCCCCAGTGGAGATCACTTTCTGGACCTCCTCTAAAGCTTCAAGAAGTGGTATTTTTCGCTTTATTTTTTAGTTTGACCATATATTCAGCAATAGTGATCTACTTGTATAACTTGACTATCCTATTCCATTTGACCAGGTTAGAGGAGTAAGACCAATGCCACTTCTAGAAATGGCCAATTTGTTCAACAGTTACAGGTTGATGGTTTGTCCAGGGCTTGTAAGTTTTTCACTTTATCCTGTTTGTGTTCATTACATTTGAATTATTCCTAACTGCATATAAATGCTCATAGCATTAACCTCTTATTTTCTTTGCAGGATCCAAACCCAAACAATTTGGTTGCCAGCACAACTTTCTATTCAGAGAGTACACGAGCTATGTTGTGTTTGGTAAGCCAGTTGTGGCTTTATTTCTAAGAATGGCTGCCACTTACTGTCCATTTTACTGTCATCCTGGTTCTTGAGTGGGTTTGGTTCTTTGTTTTCTCCACGTAATGCTAATATACGTGATTAAACTATTCCAAGAATATGTACTTCATTATTTTTTTCGTCTTTGTTTATTCTATTAGTACCATTCTTCATTATTTTTTTCGTCTTTGTTTATTCTATTAGTACCGTAGACTTTCGTCCCTTTTTATTTAGTAAAGGTTGCTTGTGATTTATTTCTCTTTTGCTACTATGAAAACATGTCTATCATTCTGATGTGATGGTCTGTTGGTTATGCAGCTTAGAGTAGAAACGGATCCAGCAGATAGAACTCAACTACGGATGACTGTTGCCTCGGGCGATCCTACTCTAACTTTTGAGTACGTGTTTTGCTTTGATTTCTATCAGAAGTCTTTACCTTTCAATTGTATGATATAAGCTTGAATTTGAACCCGAAACATGTTCTTCTGGATGATGTACAGGTTGAAGGAATTTATTAAAGAACAATTAGTCAGCATCCCTCTAGTTGCCCGGCCGCCTGCACCAGTACCTCCACAACCTCAGCCAACAATTCCACCCTCACCTTCGGCAACATCTGATCCCGGGGCTTTGCTTGCTGGCTTGCTTTGAGTTACTTATTTCATCATTGAAGAATTTGTCGATGACGATTATTGTAAAATTGATTATACAGACAGCCTGCCCAAGCATCCCAGGAAATTGAGGTGGGTTTCGAACAATACAGTGCAAGGGCTGGCGGGATTCAGGGCTGTACCATTGTATCTGATCGGCTTAGCTTTGTTGGAGTTGGGTTTCTTGGAGATCGAAGTTTTGAGATTCTTTTTCAACCATGTAGTTCTTTGAGTGAGGTTTTCTCCTTCCGGGTTGGGGGCTTTCTTATTTCTCACTTTTCCTTATATATTTTTTTCCCCTTCTAAAGTAGCGAGGCTTCATTAATTGGTTTCTGTATAATGAAATAGCACATGGGATTCCCTGGGGTGGTTCCGGCCAATTGTATCTATTAGATTTGTTCGTGATGTATTTTTAACAGAAAACAGCAATTTTTTCAGAAGAGAAAAGGTCGTGATGTTGATTTATCTATTTTCTTTAGGCTTGTGATCGTATATCTCAAGACGACAAGAGATCTATATACAGTATATTTGAGTGAGGGTCTCGGATAAACAAGCTTCGAACTTCTTTGTGATTTTCCCTTTACATCTGCTTTTGTTTGGAGCCTTACCTGAGATACTCATTGGAGTCTTTGAAATTACAAGTGAAGACGTTGCGGATATGGCGCTCCAGGTTATCTTGTTTTTATCAAGAATTCTTCTTTGCTTCTTGCACTCCAACAAAAACTCATCAATGCTATCCTCCATTATCTCCCTTTGCAGAATGAAGGGCCTCATATCCAACTCCTAAATGAAGACTGAGAGATGAAACTGTCTACTTCCAAATCAGGATCTACTATTCCTTCAAGGACAGAAATCTGACTCGATACAATGTTTTGGCATGCTTACCTGCTGTGGCTGAGCCAGCGGCTCTACCACCAGTTGAAAACTGTCACGAACTCAAGGTTGTTTCTGGAATTGTGAGATAGATCTAGGATGAATTTGGTAGAAATTGGAGAAATTGGAGAAGGAGCAGGGAATTGAAGGTCGAGAGAGAGAGAGAAGAAGATTCAGAAGAGAGGAAGTGGAAGAAATGATCGAATCTATTCTGTTACCCTCATTCATGTGGGCCCCGCCTAATATAACCAATTCTAACAGCTTGTGTCAGACGATTACAACTGAATTACCTAACTAATGGCTCATGAAACGACATCGATTACTAGTACTTAAGCAAGACCAAAACAGCATCGTTTGTACAATCCTATTGAATTAACAGACTAATGCTCAAATTGAGCCTTTATTATGCTGCAGTCCTTAGACTCAGCAGCCTGACAAAAACCAAGCCACTACGCCAAACTGACAATTGGTCAAAAGAACACTACGAGTCTCAGCCCAAGAAAAAACAATCAATCTCAAAAACTAGTTTTCCAAATACTATTAAAATTTTTAAAAAGTACTCTAAAAAGTAGTTTAAATTTTTTTTAATGTTTAAAAAATATCTCAAAATATATTCTAAAAACTCTTCTACTCTTAAATATTTCAAAATATATTCTAAAAACTCTTCTACTCTTAAATATCCCAAAATATATTCTAAAATATACTATGAAAACTCTGCTACAATAAAAATTTTTAAAAATATCCCGAAAAATAGTTAATCCAAACGGAAGCGACAATTACTCCATGCACTCTCAAGATCCCCAGATGGACTAATGACCACAAGCAGCCCTCTCCATATCTATTTTGTCCAGCGCGTACAGCTTTTGAACGCATATTTAAGATGACCACCGAGACAAAATGCCAGATAGCTTTTCTACAACTTCAACCCTCAATTCTGCCGAAGAATTGTCAACGGAATCTATTAGACTAAGTAATCGCCCAACACCAACGGATGTCGGTGCAAGTGAAGAGGCTTGCATCTTTTGAATATGAGGTCTCGGATTCAAAATACATGGGAATGGAAAAAACAATATTAGGAGAACTTCCCTTGCAAAGAAGGTCCGATGTAACTCAAACAGGATTAGTCGTAAATTGTAAAACAGATGCGGATACCTGTGGGTTATACCAAAAAAAAAAAAAAAGTAATCACCCAACAGTTTTTTGGTTGGATGCTCTTGATCAATGTAGCCTTGGGATTGCTACTGGTATCTATACGCTACTTAACCACACCATGTTATAATCTTCCCAGATAATTGGCATAGGATGTAGGTATTTTTTATGATCATCCATACTCATGTATGGTACTGTGTTTATGATAAATAGTATCCCTGCTCCCAACCATTCAACACATACTACCACAGAAACACAGTACATTACCTCTTCTCAGGAAAATCCGGGCACCCTCATGGGATGATGGGAAGCGAGAGGTTCAAGAACTAGTGCTACTAAAGTATCTCACTCAATTTTTTTGGATGAAATGGATCTCATCTGAAGAATTGTAATTTCTAGTTAAACGTGACGACAAGAAAATCAATTTTGAGAGACTAGTAGTTGCATTTGGCCAAAATACCAAACCAGAATCCCGTAAATGCAATAACATCTTGTATGAATATTCCTGAAGCAGAGGCTCATCAAAAATATGTTGGACTGTCATCTATGGTAGGTTGATCAAAGATGTTAAATTCCTCTAACTTAAAGGATAGTGTGGCAAGAGAAACTTGGTAGTGTTGCAATCCTTACAAAGCTTGGAGGTGCTGAAATCCTTACTAAGGAAAACATGAAATTTTGCTGGTACATAGGAGGGAAAAGTACACGAGTTAGGAATTTGAAGCAGATGGTCATGAAATACAAATGAATGTGAGACGTGTGTATCTCTAAATTGGGACAACAGTTTTAACATAATCCTTAGCACTAATATTGTTACGAGATATTTGTTCTCATCCCTTATTGTAAATCTTTTAATTTACACCACTCCTCAAAGGACTGACTGTTCGTTACATTGGTCCATTTCTTTTAGGAGGGCCTATAGAGCAAATCCATGAAGAAAATATATTTGTTCTCATCCCAAACATTAGTCGATTCCAGTCCTCGAAAATGACGGGCTCCACCTTTTACTGGTGCTTTCCTTCTAGGAGGGCCTACAGCAAATCTATGAAGAAAACTACAGAGAAAAGGGTGAAACTTGTCTTCTCAATTATGGCACTGGGACGAAGGGGATACCTTTATGGTGGGAAGGGCATTGACCGTCCCACCGTAGGCAGAGGAGTAGAGCATGACACGTGTATTTGGAAATAAAGGTGCTAACAGACCGGTTATGTTGTAGTCCTAACGCGCGTGGAGAATATCAACCATATAGAAGCATTGTATGTGATTTGGTATATTTTAATATTGGGCAAAAAACCTGGGCGGCCATTAAACTTTTCCCAAGATCATGTTTTGGCCATCGAACTATTTTTTGTCAATAATTGGCCACTAAACAACTTAATCAGGCCACCCGTGACCATTTCGTCGATAATAGCTCTTAATTTCTGAAATTAGCATTACACGTGGCAAACCACAGGGGCAATTTTGTCCGTCAATCCACTGACCGTTCACTTACATTAATACATCAACTGAAAAGAAAAAAAAGAGCGGTAGAAACAAGCCAACTAAACAAACTGAAGTTCTCAAAATCGTTGTAGGAAGATCGAAGAGAAGGGTTTTGAAGATCGAAGAGAAGGGAAAATCGTGGTGAATCTATGGAGTGGAAAATCAGGAGAAGAGACATCGACATTGATCCATATGAAATTTACGGTAAGTTATTTTTTGGGGAAAATCATGTGAATGAACTGAAACTATACTTTAAACTAAATGTAATGGGTGTATTACTCAAGTTTGTGTCTGAAATCGAAGGTGCTTATTTGTGGGTTGTGAATATGTAGCAGCATTATAAAGTTTAAATGTTAGGGTTTTCATCCAACTGCCGGTTGTAAAAGTGGGAAATTTTGAAATAAACAAGTGTTTTTTTTAGTCTTTTTTTTTCAAATGAAGTGATTCCTTTTTTTTTCCCATTTCATTGCAGTGCCTAATTCTGAACTATTCAGTATTAGAATGTTTCATGGTGGTAGATTTAGTGGGCGTCAGTATAAAACATACGTTGGTGGTGAAATAGATTATCTTGATGCGTGTGATGCGGAGAGAATGTCTGTCCATGAGATAAATGACATGGTTGAGGAATTAGGATATAATGGTGCAATGCTTTACTATTACTTAGAACCTGGGAGTGATTTGAATAAGGGATTAAGAGAGTTACAAGGAGATGCAGATATAGTGGCAATGTGCAAATGGGCGTACGAGCACAAACTGATAGATGTTTACTGTGACCATAGGCCTTTACATGAAATTCTTGACATCCAGTCACATTCCCCGCTGTTAGGTAGTAAGAAAAAAACAGGGGTTGTAATTGAAGAAATTGATGAACATGGTAGTGTAGTTGTAGATGAACATGGCAGTGGAGTTGTAGAACTTGATAAACAATTGGTGGTTAGAAAAAATCTTTTTGATAGCTCTTTTGTTAGTACAAATATGACTGCCCCTGGACCAGCAATAGGAGGTACAAGTAGAGGTAAAGGTGTAAGAGTAAGTGTTGTCATTGAGGGAGAAACTAGTGGGACTGGTGTAAAGAGTAGGAGTCAAGGAGATAAAACTGATGTGAATGCAAGGGCAGGTGAAGAAGATGATAAAAATGACAGCAGTTCAGAAAGGGAGCATTTCACTGATGATGAAGAGTTTTGCAAAGATGATCAAATGCTTGGGAGTGAGAAACCAACTCCCACAGTTGAAATTCCCTCTCCTGTTATGAGGAGAACTACTGAATCTATACTTCATGAGAGCCAGGATGTAAATGGCTTGGAAAGTGGTACACATGGAGATGGTCAACGCGATGCCCAAGCTGAAAAACAATCACAGGCAACTGATGGATCATCTGGTGGCAGCAAGAGAGCAAAGAAAAAGTATCCTAGAAAAACAACAAGAGGAAAAAGAAAGTGGTCAGCAAGAAGGGAGAAGACATCATCAGCACAGGCTGACCATAACACATCATCACAGGAAGCTGCTGAGGAAATGGAAGAAGCTGATGATGAAGATGTGTTGCATGACAATATGATGGAGGATGACCTGCATAGCATTGATGCTTCTTCTGATGAAGATGATGAAGTGCAGAAGGGAATCAAATATGTTGACTTCAATGCTGAAAAGAACATGAGAAATCCACATTTCCAGGTTGGGATGCGATTTGCATCATCAGTTGAGTTTAAGGCCGCAATGCAGAATTATTCGATTGCTAATGGTAGACCTGTTTGGTATTACACTAATGAGGAACTGAGAGTAAGGGTAAGGTGCAAGGATCCATGTAACTGGGAGTGTTATGCTTCTCAAGAGAAAGCACTTGGGACGAATGATTTGGTGATTAAGACCCTTTATGATGTACATGAAAACTGCAGTCATGCCTGGAAAAATAAAATGATGACTGCTAAATGGGTTGCTGAGAGATATGAGAACAGAATTATGGCCAATATG